ACTGCAAAATGTAGTACGTATTCAGCATGTGAAATGATCTGTTGTTACATAGAGTTTGTGATATGTGATAGATGTTGGGAGAAATCTTAGTTTGGTGAAAATTTCAGTAGTTAATCGTATGGTTTGCGCATAAATTGGATGATCTCAATTGTGATACCTTATCCTTCAATAAATCTGCAGTATATGCGTACGCAAGTAAATGAATTGAGTGACAATTTCAACTAATATGACCGAATGAGGAACTGATATTTAGTGTCAAAAAAATAAGGCTCGACAAGGTAATTTTTGTGATTGATTGCGTAACCAAAACCAACCAGATCTACAAATCATAAATAGATTTTAAACACGAGTATTTTTGTAGAAAGAATATCTATCGCTATTCAAAAAACGTAAAAAGTTTATATCGTTATCAAGATATTTTTTATTTTTTAAAACATTATTATGGATCACACAAAATACGAAAATTCTGATTCTTCATCGGATGACAATTTACAAGGAATGACACCAATTCCACCTAATGTGTTAATTTCACCTGTACAATTATTAACTAAAGAAAAATTAGCTCAACAACGATTCCTCAAAAGATCTACCAAAAGATTCGCTAAATTAGAATATCATTCTTCAGAATTATTATTAAATCAAAAGCAGGATAATGATACTAAAAAGATATCACTACCATTACCTTTTCAAAACAAGCCGTTAGACACGTCAACATTTAATAATGAAAGTAATTCTTCATTATTATCTTCATCGATCTCTTATAATAAAAGTCGTCATTCGTCATCATCTTCATCAAGCTCTTATAATAGAAGTCATTCTTCGTCGTCATCTTCATTGATCTCTTATAATAGAAGTCGTTCTTTATCACCATCTTTATCAATTTCTTATAATAGAAGTCGTTCTTCATCACCATCTTCATCGATCTCTTATAATAGAAGTCGTTCTTCGTCACCATCTTCATCAATCTCTTATAATAGAAATCATTCTTTGTCATTATCGTCATCAATCTCTTATAATGAAAGTGATTCATCATTATCATCATCATCAATCTCTTACAATGGAAGCAGTTCTTCGTCATCAACTCAATCATTACAAAATCATAGAGTGTTCATGTCTAAGAAGAGAAGATTTGAAGAAATTGAAGTGCTTCATTCAGGGTTTCTCTCATTTGCACAAAAACAATCAGAACACGCGCGAAAAAAATTGCAATGTAAATTTCCCATGTTAACACCAACACAAGCTAAAGAGAGTGCAATGAGAGAATTAACAACGCTTCCAACAATTGGTCTTTCGAATGCTGTATTAGAAATCCGTGCAAAGTCTTTGAATAGGCGAAGGGTGATGAGAATAACAAATATACCGCGAATAATTGGAGTCAAGCCATCATCTTCCAAACAAAAAAATAAACCTATACACGATTTCGATACTTTTAAAAAAAAATTGTATCCACATGCTCAGGGAACAGTTCTTGTTCCATTTTCGCCATGTTATGTTTCAACGGAAATTAAACATTATATTCTTCCTGGAGAAGATGAAATTAAAAAAGCAATTGAATCTTTTAATAATAATAAAATATTATCAACATCATTAAAAAGAAAACTTGATGATATTGATAATGATAATAAAAAAATCAAAAAAATCAAAAAAACTAAAAAAAATAAAAAAATCAAAAAAACAAAAAAAACTAAAAAAATATTAGCACCATCATCATCACTATCATTATCCTTATCAGCACCATTACCACTATCACTATCATTACCATTATCAGCA